TTTCGAATTTTAAAGAAAAAAAATAGATGACCTTCAAGCTCTTCGAATTTCTAGAACATTTTATGATTGGCACTTATTTGATAACATGAACGCAACTTAATAAAATTGGATCAATAGGTAAAGTTTTTATTCCGCTGGGATATCTTAAAAACAAAGTCCACTTTCGAAACTAGAAATCGTTCACAATTTTTCGCGCCATTTTCAAGTTCGTATTAAAATGTAAAGTCCTTTTTAACCTCAGAGTACACACGCGAGCAAAATTTTTTTCGGTCGTAACGATGCAATAAGAGGCCACTAAGTCGTTATTAATTACGCCGAAAAAAATTAGGCCAATTAAAAAGACAAAAAAAAAGAAAAAAAAATTGTTAACAGATCGCGCAGGTAAAATTACAACCAATGTGAAAAGCAAATTTCGATTCGGCCGAATTTCTAAAATGTTAAAAGCAACTGCAGTGAAAATTGTTTATAGCTAAAACAAACTATTCTTAGATGTGGAAACTAAGCCGACAAAACATAAGCAGACAAACAAAAAAAATGGTCAAGGTCAGATTCGATTAGAGTATTGGTTTCCACCAGGCTGTGTGCAAGAGACACAACGAAATTTGAATTCACGATGAAAAAAGGTACATAGGGAGTCAAAGAGTCCTGTGGACAAAGTTGTTTACGGGAAAAAAGACTAGTTACCATTGCTTATCGCAACTGTAAAAACAAAATTTTCGCAGAATTTTTTTAAAAACTTTTAAGTTTTTGATTCCTCAAAATTAGCAAAAAAAAAACTCAAAAAAATCCACTCAAATAAATTTAGGTTTTTTAGACCAAAACCCAAACTAGACCAAAACCCAAAAATTTCAAAACAGCCAATCGAAGATTGGAAAAGAGTAATGAACGCAAGTAAACAAAAAAACCACTGACTTTCTTGAAAAAATCTCAACTTTCGAATTTCAATAAAAAAATAGATGACCTTCAAGCTCTTTGAATTTTTAGAACATTTTATGATTGGCACTTCTTTGATAACATGAACCCAACTTAAGAAAATTGGATCAAAAGGTAAAGTTTTTATTCCGCTGGGATATCTTAAAAACAAAGCCCACTTTCGAAAATAGAAATCGTTCACAATATTTCGCGCCACTTTCAAGTTCGTATTAAAATGTAAAGTCCCTTTTAACGTCAGAGTACACACGCGAGCAAAATGTTTTTCGGTCGTAACGATGCAAAACGAGGCCACTAAGTCGTTATTAACTACGCCGAAAAATATAAGGCCGATTAAAAAGACAAAAAAAAAGAAAAAAAGTGTTAACAGATCGCGCAGGTAAAATTACAACCAATGTGAAAAGCAGATTTCGATTCGACCGAATTGCTAAAATGTTAAAAGCAACTGCAGTGAAAATTGTTTATAGCTAAAACCAACGATTCTTAGATAAGGAAACTAAGCCGACAAAACATAAGCAGACAAAAAAAATGGTCAAGGTCAGATTCGATTAGAGTATTGGTTTCCACCAGGCTGTGTGCAAGAGACACAACGAAATTTGAATTCACGATGAAAAAAGGTACATAGGGAGTCAAAGAGTCCTGTGGACAAAGTTGTTTACGGGAAAAAAGACTAGTTACCATTGCTTATCGCAACTGTAAAAACAAAATTTTCGCAGAATTTTTTTTAAAACTTTTAAGTTTTTGATTCCTCAAAATTAGCAAAAAAAAAACTCAAAAAAATCCACTCAAATAAATTTAGGTTTTTTAGACCAAAACCCAAACTAGACCAAAACCCAAAAATTTCAAAACAGCCAATCGAAGATTGGAAAAGAGTAATGAACGCAAGTAAACAAAAAAACCACTGACTTTCTTGAAAAAATCTCAACTTTCGAATTTCATTAAAAAAATAGATGACCTTCAAGCTCTTTGAATTTTTAGAACATTTTATGATTGGCACTTCTTTGATAACATGAACCCAACTTAAGAAAATTGGATCAAAAGGTAAAGTTTTTATTCCGCTGGGATATCTTAAAAACAAAGCCCACTTTCGAAAATAGAAATCGTTCACAATATTTCGCGCCACTTTCAAGTTCGTATTAAAATGTAAAGTCCCTTTTAACGTCAGAGTACACACGCGAGCAAAATGTTTTTCGGTCGTAACGATGCAAAACGAGGCCACTAAGTCGTTATTAACTACGCCGAAAAATATAAGGCCGATTAAAAAGACAAAAAAAAAGAAAAAAAGTGTTAACAGATCGCGCAGGTAAAATTACAACCAATGTGAAAAGCAGATTTCGATTCGACCGAATTGCTAAAATGTTAAAAGCAACTGCAGTGAAAATTGTTTATAGCTAAAACCAACGATTCTTAGATAAGGAAACTAAGCCGACAAAACATAAGCAGACAAAAAAAATGGTCAAGGTCAGATTCGATTAGAGTATTGGTTTCCACCAGGCTGTGTGCAAGAGACACAACGAAATTTGAATTCACGATGAAAAAAGGTACATAGGGAGTCAAAGAGTCTTGTGGACAAAGTTGTTTACGGGAAAAAAGACAAGTTACCATTGCTCATCGCAAGTGCAAAAACAAAACTTTTGAAAAAAAAACTTTTTGAAATTTTTCGCAGAACTTTTTTGAAACTTTGAAGTTTTTGATTCCCGAAATTGAGCAAAAAAACTCCAGAAAAATCTGCTTGAATATATTTAACTTTTCGCGGCTAAAATTAAGCATTAGTAAGTTACTGTATCTGATTTCGCTCGAAATTTAATCAAAAACTTCAAAACAGCCAATTGAAGATTGGAAAAGAGTAATGAACGCAAACATAAAAAAACAGACTTTCTTGAAAAAATCTCAACTTCCGAATTTCAAAAAAAAATAGATGACCTTTAAGCTCTTTGAAGTTCTAGAACAATTTATGATCGGCGCTTTTTTTGATAAAATGAACTCAACTTGAGAAAATTGGATCAGTAGGTAAAGTTTTTATTCAGCTGGGAAATCTTCAAAATAAATCCCCCTTTCGAAACTAGAAATCGTTCACAATTTTTCGCGCCATTTTCAAGTTCGCATTAAAATGTAAAGTCCCTTTTAACGTCAGAGTACACACGCGAGCAAAATGTTTTTCGGTCGTAACGATGCAAAACGAGGCCACTAAGTCGTTATTAACTACGCCGAAAAAAATAAAGCCGATTAAAAAGACAAAAAAAAAGAAAAAAGTGTTAACAGATCGCGCAGGTAAAATTACAACCAATGTGAAAAGCAAATTTCGATTCGGCCGAATTTCTAAAATGTTAAAAGCAACTGCAGTGAAAATTGTTTATAGTTAAAACAAACGATTCTTAGATATGGAAACTAAGCCGACAAAACATAAGCAGACAAACAAAAAAAATGGTCAAGGTCAGATTCGATTAGAGTATTGGTTTCCACCAGGCTGTGTGCAAGAGACACAACGAAATTTGAATTCACGATGAAAAAAGGTACATAGGGAGTCAAAGAGTCCTGTGGACAAAGTTGTTTACGGGAAAAAAGACAAGTTACCATTGCTTATCGCAAGTGCAAAAACAAAACTTTTGATAAAAAAATTTTTGAAATTTTTCGCAGAACTTTTTTGAAACTTTGAAGTTTTTGATTCCCGAAATTGAGCAAAAAACTCCAGAAAAATCTGCTTGAATATATTTAACTTTTCGCGGCTTAAATTAAGCATTATTTAGTTACTGTATCTGAATTCGCTCGAAATTTAATCAAAAACTTCAAAACAGCCAATTGAAGATTGGAAAAGAGTAATGAACGCAAACATAAAAAACAGACTTTCTTGAAAAAATCTCAACTTTCGAATTTCAAAAAAAAAATAGATGACCTTTAAGCTCTTTGAAGTTCTAGAACAATTTATGATCGGCGCTTTTTTTGATAAAATGAACTCAACTTGAGAAAATTGGATCAGTAGGTAAAGTTTTTATTCAGCTGGGAAATCTTCAAAATAAATCCCCCTTTCGAAACTAGAAATCGTTCACAATTTTTCGCGCCACTTTCAAGTTCGCATTAAAATGTAAAGTCTTTTTTAACCTCAGAGTACACACGCGAGCAAAATGTTTTTCGGTCGTAACGATGCAATAAGAGGCCACTAAGTCGTTATTAATTACGCCGAAAAATATTAGGCCAATTAAAAAGACAAAAAAAAACGAAAAAAAGTGTTAACAGATCGCGCAGGTAAAATTACAACCAATGTGAAAAGCAAATTTCGATTCGGCCGAATTTTTAAAATGTTAAAAGCAACTGCAGTGAAAATTGTTTTTAGTTAAAACAAACGATTCTTAGATATGGAAACTAAGCCGACAAAACATAAGCAGACAAACAAAAAAAATGGTCAAGGTCGGATTCGATTAGAGTATTGGTTTCCACCAGGCTGTGTGCAAGAGACACAACGAAATTTGAATTCACGATGAAAAAAGGTACATAGGGAGTCAAAGAGTCCTGTGGACAAAGCTTTTTACGGGAAAAAAGACAAGTTACCATTGCTGATCGCAAGTGCAAAAACAAAACTTTTTGAAATTTTTCGCAGAACTTTTTTGAAACTTTGAAGTTTTTGAGTCCCGAAATTTAGCAAAAAAACTCCAGAAAAATCTGCTCGAAAATATTCAACTTTTCGCGGCTTAAATTAAGCATTATTAAGTTACTGTATCTGAATTTGCTCGAAATTGAATCAAAAACTTCAAAACAGCCAATTTAAGATTGGAAAAGAGTAATGAACGCAAACATAAAAAAAACAGACTTTCTTGAAAAAATCTCAACTTTCGAATTTCAAAGAAAAAAATAGATGACCTTTAAGCTCTTTGAAATTCTAGAACAATTTATGACCGGCGCTTTTTTTGATAAAATGAACTCTTACAAACCCTTATAAACCCTTATGAACTCTTACAAACCCTTATGAGTTGAATTGCGCTCCAGAATTGTCTATTTGCACTCATATTTATGATATTAATGCTTTTTTGACCTACTATTAGAATAGATGGTCACCTATTGAGAACTCAACCAACCTTCAAGATTCGCATCCATGAAATATTCCTCTGGGTACAACATTCGCAGGTATGCTATTTCAGAAAATCCCATAGCAAGAAGTTTTTTCACCAGTAAAACAGAATTGAGTTTGCTTTCAGCAAGCTCTCGTTGCGTCTTCCACATAGGAGTTTGTCCCTGAAAATAGAGAGACAATATTTACAATCCATGGTTACCAGGAGTAACTTTTCAGCAATACATCTGTTCATGATCCTGTACAAACCGTTTCTTGCTTTTTCTTGCTCAATTGAGCCACTTGAGTAGCTGCCATTTTTTATCTGAAATATTCTATATATGTCAAAATATTTATTGCATTGAAAACAAACTAAACAAACTGCAATCGAAATTTTTAAGCAAATTCGAGCCTCTTTTCAAGCGATTCAATCAACGGCTACAACCTAGTTGTTCCAACCACCGAAAATGAGAATTATCTTTGGACACGTGGTTCTGGAGAATGGATGCCTCGCAGCGGCAGAACCATCATCGTCGAAGCAAGATCCATCCACAACTTTCCTCAAAGACTCAAACTTTGAACACAGAAACGAAGCTTCCAACCACTTGAGAGACCATAGCTACTTTTCCACTAGTAGCAGCACTAGCAGAGCCAGTAGCTTTTCCACTAGTAGAGACAGTAGCTACTTTTTCACGCAAATTGATGCAAATTTCATGTTTCGAAGCGGTTGGATTGGGCTATCAAAAGCACGTTTTTCAGATCGGTTTTAAAGTCATCCGCCGCACTGCGTAAAGACCACTCATTTACTAAAATTAAAAACAGAACTGAACTGAGAAATGTTACGTACTAATATCAGTATCGTTATAGCAAAAGGAAAACTTTTGCAATGCAATGAAGTTACCCAGATTTTTGTTGTGAGCTCAGTAGATTACTAAAAAGGGTTAGAATTCAACAAAAATAGTTAGAGGAAATTTAAAATGTTAATTCAAACGTTTTCGCACATTTTATGCATCATCAGGATTGAAATTTTTCACAATATTTAAAAAACGATCAAAGATCTGAAAAATGAGAAACATTTCTAAAATTGCTTTAAAACTTTATGACCAATCAAATTTAAACAACTGTAATTACATAATAAATTACGTAATCAATAATAACATTTTCCTGTAAATTTCGGATTTTAAGGTTTATTTTAAGGTTTATAATTATAAGGTTTTGAAGCAATTTTAGACACGTTTCTCATTTTTCAGATCTTTGATCGTTTTGTAAATATTGTAACAAATTTAATCCTTCCGAGTTAATGAACCTTCCGAGTTAATGATTTTGAAGGATTAACGACGTTATTCGGATGATTAGCAGAACGGTGAAGGTCAGGATATTCCCGTATTTTAAAATTTTAAATTTTCGAAGTGATGACGTAACATTTCTGAGAAACGTCAGAAACGGCCATTTTAGCAAAAAGAACTAAGAAAAACAGAACAACTTTATCTGTGATTGCGAACAGAACGAAAATCGAAATTAAAGAAAACGACAACGAATTACAGAGAACGTTCCGAGTTGCAACTATTGTGCTGCTACAATAGTTGCAAGGCCGTTGCGAACAACGGTGAAGGGTGAAAACCAGCCTTCCGTGTTATCGTGAAATCGAACTTAAGGAGCTTGATTCAGTGGATTCGTCAATCCGGAAGGGTAAAGGAACTAGAACTTTTATCCTGTTGCATAAACTTTTAGCTTCCTGTCATGTCCTGACTTGAATTTAATTAATATCTAGATTCATTTTGATAAGGATGAGAAGCTAAGAGTTGGGGGAAAGGGTTGATCCATCTTCGATGGAGATGATGATTTTTATCTACTGAACAAAAACAATAGTAATATAATAAGCAGTAGCCCTGTTTTTAGGAGTGACCTCGTGGTCTGGGGATACTGAGACCCAGCCATGAGCTCACTATTTGCATGTAATTAAGTTAATTTGAGCGTTCTGGTCGAAGCCGGAGAACAGTAACGTTTTTGTCGACCCGATGTTGGAAAGACCACCGAAAAGTACTGGCTTGGTAGAGACGGTGAAAAGCATGCAAAGCTCTGTTTAGACGTTGGCCAGTCGTCTTAAGACTTAGTTTTGTTGTCCGTCGATATGTATCTTCCGGGTGAATGTTACATACATGTTTTTATGGCGCTCCTGGGTGTTATTCTTTTTAACATCATGACCGGCAGAACCGTTAACGAGCACTCCGCGCCGAGCGGATGCTCACATTAACGCCCTTATTAGGCCTAAACCGCCGGGGTGGAGGGGTGGTTCGGAGCGCGGAAGCCCTCCGGATTACCGTGAATAGCTTTTTAACTTAGTTAAGACCGAAAATTCACGAACCAGGAAGGGTGGGGGGATCGGCCATTCCCTCATCCCCTGAGTGGTTTGTGACCAAAAACACTTAAAGATATAAGTAAAACCAAACAAAAAGTAGTATAGTACCCAAGAAAAACAAAAAACATAAAAAATTGCCGAAAAAATCAAAAACAGTAAAAAAGTAAAAAATCAGTAGAAATCATCACCCCAGACAAGATGTGATCCGACCCCCCCGTTTGTTGTTGATAGATATATTGTTGTTACAGGCATTTATATCATTCGGGATCGTTACGATCAACTTTGTAGCCCGTTTGTGAGGCTTGTACTGTAGGGTTATTTGAGCATTTAAGCACGTTAATGATAAATTGCGCTCAATCCGGAAGGGTCAGCTGATTTGCGCTCAATTCGGAAGGGTCTTGGGTGAAGACCGATCCGGCAAGCAGTACAAGGAGCAACAAGAAGGGGCTCAACGACAACAACAACTGACTGTTGGATATCGTTAACAAGTTTTGTATCCCTTTTGGTACAAAAAGTAAGATAGTAATCTGTGGGGGGCTCGACAGTGCTGCACTGTAGTGACCTTCACCGAACTGCGAATATCCGAGTTAAGCACCTTAATTCGGATATTAAGGAAACCCGGAGGGGTATAGTATTACTAATATTATTATTTATACAGCCTATATTAATAGTCTTATATCGTTTTTCAGTGAAAAACAGCGAAAACAGACTGGTTTTTAGGGTCAAAATAGCGATATTTTGATCCCCCCACAAGTCGCGATTTTTGAGATATCGATATTTTTTGAAACGGAAAAAGCGCTAAGTTAGTGTGTTACATCGTAACTGCACTACCATAATAGATAGAACCGGTTAAGTTAAGTCCGAAGGTGGTTGGAACTATTTTGGTACCGAAAACTGAAATTTCGTGATTTTTGAGAAAACGGAACACTATAAATTTAGAAATTTTTTTGAAATTTTTGAGTTACGACAGTAAAATTAGTTGTTCGGTTAACGTCCACTAGTGAATCTACGAGTTTTAAAACCCGCTACCCGAAAGCCTTCCGGGTTGCAGAGAAATCGGACATAACGTGTTTGATTTGGTGGATTCATCAATCCGGAGGGGTCCAGGTAGCATAGTTTTTCGCAAATTTTTTCTATAAAAGCGTTTTAGATCGGGTCTTTTGCATTGAATTAGAAGAGTATAGGCCTTCTGAGCTCGGGTCAATAATTTTTAGGTCGGAAGGACCAGAATTGCGGAAAAAGTTAGGTGGAACCTATAAGTGAGAAATTTTTTGAGTTTGCAAGAAAGACGTTTTGGCTAATAACTTTTCGACAACTGGACAGATCCGGTTAATCTTGGTACCATTAGATCAGAAATTAGCTGAACTTACTAGTAGGAAAGGAATTACTCAAAAAAGCGAGCGAGAAAATTTTTGGAGATTGTTTTTAGCAAATTACACAAATCCGGAGGGGTACACCCTTCACGTTTCATAAATTTTTCTGAAAAACCCTTAGACCCCTACCAAAAGGTAATAGTGGTTGAATAAAGTAACTTTAGGCCGTTCTAGACCAAAAGGGAGGGCTAAAGGCACAGCAAAAGCTTAATCGAGCCGAAGTTAGGCCAGCGATAAGACCCTTTACCGTTGGTGTGAATTGTCAAATAAGAAGCTTAACTTCAATCCGGAAGGGTCTAGGAAGGTAGCACATACCCCTCCCAGTTAAATGAAAGAGCATAATTGCATCGGAGAACGTATCAGGAGGGGTATAGGTTGAAAACAGGAAATCTCCGAAAAGCTACTTTTTACAAATCCGGAGGGGTCCGAATCCGGAGGGGTCTTATAGTTGCTAATTCGGAGGGGTCCAAATCCGGAGGGGTCTTCTATTAACCAACTCAGAGGGGCCCAAATCCGGAGGGGTCTAGATTCTATCAATCCGGAAGGGTCCTATTTGTGCCAATCCGGAGGGGTATTATTTTATTAAGGACTTAGGTAGACGAAAGAAAGACTAAAAAGTGAGAGGTATTAGGTTATTAGCACACAGGCTAGGTATCAGTGACTGCACTGGTAACTTGCCTTTCAATAAGAACCAGACTAATACAGAACAGGTCCGAACTCGGATATTCGCGACACTAAGTCTAAATTAAAAAGAGCGTGATTCATTGGTGTGGATTGAAACATAATACGTTTTTGGGAAAAGTGACTGCCCTGAGGATTTTAGTAGGTCTAGCTCGGGCAGTCCGAAGGCAGATAGGTAACACAGTACTCGGTGGGTGCAATAGACGCCCACTTGAGAAAATTACTGCCTTCAAAGTTTTGTCTGTTTGGTGCGGCACCGAGCAGGGAAAGCTTTTTCTTTAAAAGACAGGTTCGACTATTGTACTGCGACCGACTAAGAGTACAAGACACATACGTTTTTTATATATACATTCATATTGTGTCAAAATAAATTATTTGTTTTTGATTTTAAATCAACGTAAACTGGGCTTGATTGGGTAGTGAGTACACTATCTTTTAAATTGACTGATAACATCATATTGTACTAGTTTCAAAATCTTTGGACCGATAATCGGTTAGTGTGAATAAATTTAATAATATTTGTGTCATTATTATTGTTAAAAATATAAGGTCTCTAGCAATTGAGTCAAGAGTAGGCATTGGAAAGTGACAAATAGAGAATGAGTCTAGACAAGTCAAGGATACCAAAACGAGGTAATAGCTCTAGGAAATTCATACCTGAAAAGCAAAGAAAAACGATGACCGATCCTTTTGTGGATTGGATCAAGCGATCCGGTCTGTTAAAAAGGGGACGGTTTCAGTCAAAATGGTTGAAACGAGAAGTCAGAAGACCTCAGAAGAGCGAAGAGAACTGTTAGAAGTGGAGGTTAATACGGACCAGACCATGAATGACAACCAGGAAGTAAATGGACTGGAAGGAAGAGGCAGAAGGCTGGCGAGTGAATCTACCCCGGTAGAACAAGGCCATGATTTTGCCACTTCCACTGGGA